AATGTCTACACGCATGACTGTAAGTTTTATTTTAATGTCATTGTATCATATATTAAGCTATTTCTTTAGATAGCTTAATTGTTTTCTGAAATAAGTTATACAGAATTTTTTAGATAGATGTATTCAGTTGTATTGTCATGCAGTAGCCTTATAATGTTTTGTTTCTTTTCAGCTGCCTAAAGTTAAGCAGATGTTTGATGTATATCATTGTATTCATAAGCTAAGACGTAATTATAGTTTATAGTCTGCCGGTCTACATATATGATGTATTCTTTTGTATTCAAACATTTCAGTTGTATTTAACTGAATAATTCTGCATTATACATACAGAAATTCATTTATATGTTCTCAAAACTTATAGGTCTATGTTTAAATGTAGGTGGTACCATCGATTGAATACTTACATACGGTTAACGATGGAGGGAGGCATTACACCGTCTGCCTGTTAGAGAGAAAATGCATTTGTGGGAGGTTCCAAGTTGATGAATTACCATGCCCACATGCTTGGGCTGTATTGAAGAGCAAGTTTCTAATGCCAGAAGATTATTTCTCTAACTATTACAAACCAAATTCTGTTGTAATGACATACGATGTGCCTGTGTACCCGCTACCGGACAGAAATGACTGGAATATACCAGCACATGTTGCAGAGGAAGTTGTATTACCACCCAAATGGAAAAGACCTCCTGGCAGGCCAAAGAAGAAGCGCGATAAACCTTTCAGTGAATTGCTGCAGCCGAAAAATCAACATTCATGTAGCATATGTGGGCAAGGAGGACATAATAAGCGAACATGTAGAAATGCTCCACGTAGGATTTAGTTAACACTCTGACATGTATTAGTGCTCCAACGATTTTTCATTACTTTTGATGACATTGTGAAGTAATATATTTTGAACCTTTTCGTGAATAGATTCTGGATACATTTAGTTGTAGTATTGTGTTGAATATATTCAAATGCAACCTTGCCAACAGATACTTAGACAATTTATTATAGACAGTGCTTGAGTTGTATATACATAACCAATCAAAATACATCGAAATACAACTATATACTCAGCTATAATATAACAATTTCAATAAATACATATACAATCTGCTGAATATATAATTATAGCCATTGTATTATTCAGTCTCTAAATTGGATATACAATGCACACGACTGGAGCTGATTACGTACTAATATACAATGTTGAATACATACAAAAATACAAATTGTCTTATACATTGTGTCTGCCTTGACTATACAAATCAAACCAAATAAATACAATTACTTATAGATTTGTATAAGTATGAATGCAACCTGCTTAAGTAAAATAAATACATCAAGTTGAGTACAAACGTATAAACCTGTAACATACAGTTTCTGACTTTGATATATAAGATAAGTGACTGAATATTAATACATACTTATACGCCTTGTTGAATACGTATGAATATATCCTGTAAGATACATATGAGTAGAAACTGTAGATTAAGCATGAATACTTATGAACAAAATAAAGAAACATAGATTGAAAAGTTACAATTGTCATATATGAACACTGTTGATAAAGTGATTAAAACATTCTAACTGAATACCATCTTCACCAAAAAGCTATTCAAAAAAACAATATTCACCTAAAACAACCTTCCAAAACTACATTCACCTAAAGCTACGCTAACACTATCTGCAACTTTGAATCTGACTCCGTGATTTTCCTAGCAATCTTTGAGGGTGCTTCATTCTCGCTTATGGCATCAACGTCTATCTTCTGCATAGCATAGTCCCAGAGGAGAGCACCATATCTTTGACGGAGTAGATTAGAATCAAATATTGTTTGTGGAATCTCACCAAGAGTGCTTAGAAACTCTGCGTATGCCGCAACATGCACCCCACAATCCCTGAAAAATATTGATTGAAACAATTAAAAATAATTCATTCAATTAGAGTTTTAAAATGATACAAGCATGATAATTGAATACATACATGCTCCCAGCTTTTTGTTGAGGCAGATTTGATATGAAAACAACTTCAAAGGGATCTGTATGTGACTTGTCAGTGTATGCTGAGTAAGTAGAGCAATCTACCTTGACTATCTCTGTAAAAGCCACTAATTGATAGATACAGAGGTACAAGCTTAGCAAGCTTATCTATCTCAGAAGCTACATAGGCATCATGACCTGCAGATCTGTTTGAGTCATACACTTTGATACATCTCTCCTTGAATGAGACAACAGCCAATATCCAGTGTAGTTTGTCCTTCAAGTTGACTGGTATCAAGACATTGTCAATAGTATGCCAAGGTACATTAGCTAGCAATCTGTAGCCCCTTATGTACTCACATACCACATCCTCTTCTTTGGCTACATTTGCATTACTATCTGTATCAGCATACCTGTCGAAGATTTCTGCGATTCTTGTCTTGAATATACAATCGACAGTTGTATACTTGAAGTTGGTTGTTTGGTTGTACTTTCCCTTCTTTCTCAGATAGTAGAACATGACGTCAATATGCTATATACAAATTTAATTTAGTACAATGAATCAAATTAAGGAAAAGAAACTGAATATGATAAGTGAAAACTCAGTTAAATACATCACACAGATTCAGTTAAATACATCTGTTATTTAAACTACTGAGTACTGTTAAAATAACACTGAATACAGTTAAATACATTTTGTTATTCAAGACTAATGAGGCAATTAAATACATAATACAGATTCAGTTAAATACATCTGTTATTTACAACTACTGAGTACTTTTAAAATACATCTGAATACAGTTAAATACAGAAGTTATTCAAGAATAATGAGGCCATTAAATACATCACACAGATTCAGTTAAATACATCTGTTATTTAAACTATTGAGTACTATTAAAATACAACTGAATACAGTTAAATGCATTTTGTTATTCAAGACTAATGAGGCAATTAAATACATAATACAGATTCAGTTAAACACATCTTTTATTTATAACTACTGAATACTTTTAAAATACATCTGAATACAATTAAATGCAGCAGTTATTCAAGAATAATGAGGCCATTTGTGACGACCCGGCTGGTCGTTTTTAGAATTTGCGTCTCGATCCCCTCTTTACTATTTTCCCCGTATTTATTTCTGCTATTTTGAATTGCCGGGATGTTCGATTTCGAATTTCGGAGAGTTTTGGGACACTTAGTCCCTAAATGAGAGCTTAAGTGTTGGGAATTTGACCATAGTCAGAACAGTGTGAAGACGGCCTCAGAATGGAAATCTGATGGTTCCGTTAGCTCCGTTGGGTAATTTCGGGCTTAGGGACGTGTTCGGATTGTGTTTTGGAGGTCCGTAGCTAATTTAGGCTTGAAATGCGAAAAGATAAATTTTTGAAGTTTCAGGTTCGATAGTGAGATTTTGATCCGAGGGTCGGAATGGAATTCCGGAAGTTGGAGTAGCTCCGTAGAGATGAATGTGACGTGTGTGAAAAATTCCAGGTCAATCGAACTCAACAAACCCATACAACCAAAAGCTTGTAGAACCACAAAGACTCACAAAACCTTGAGCCCCAAAGAAAAAATGGAAACAGAAAATTAAACTAAAGAAAACCCAAGACCAAAACAATGCCAACCAAACTAACTCTAAAAATGACATGCATACAAAGATGAATTGAAGGAATAGAAAAAAAATAAGAAATGAAAGAAAGAAGCAGAAGAAGAGGAGAGGAGAACTAAAAAATGAAAAGCGAAGAATAAGAAAAGTAAACAGCGAAAAAAAGAATAAATACCTTGAGAGACGGTATGGGATAGTGGAAAATGAAAAGTTCTTCAAAGTATTTCAATTTCTTGACCAAGCTTGACATTAATCAGGTGTTCCCGCCGGGAACACGTGAATAACATCAAATTTGACCTTAAATCTTCATTGACCTTTGACGATTTGGACGTTTTGAGATTTTAAGGTTTGGGGTCAGTTCTAAGATCGAAGATTCGAGAAGATTGAGAGGGATTCGAGGGGAACTATGTTGAGATTTGGAAAGAGGAGGGTAAGAGGGTTCTGGGGTATTATTTTCGGGTGGATTGGAGTGGTTTATGGCGTCGCCGCCGGCTGGTGGGGAGTTGGTATCTAAGGGCGGCGGATTTCTAGGGTTATTGGTCTCTGAAAATTGGAGACGATGAATGAGGGAGGTGAGAAGGGGGGGGGGGGGAGGGGTGGCCTAGGTTCCGACACTTAAATACTAAGGGGGACCTCAGTTCCGGCCCGTTGGATCAATGGGATCCAACGGTTGAGATGAAACAGAATGAAACGGGGTCGTTTGGTTATCTGAGTGGGTGGACTGGGTAAAAACAACGGGTTTGGGCCTATTTGGGACGGGTAAAGGGTGAAAAATGTTTGGGCCTATGGGAAATTAATTGAATGTCCAAAATTCAGACTCTTTTATTTCCTTTCTTTTCTTTTTCAATTTCAAACTTTCTTTTTCTTTTTCCAAATTAAAATAAAACCTAGATTAATCTTAAAACAAAATTATCCTACCAAATTATAATAAATACTCACCATAATATTTTAAATAACTCCTAAATTAAAAGAAAAGCTAACAAAATTTCAAATTAAAAAGTTAAAATGCAACATGCACTTTTTTTTTGTTGTGATTTTTCATGTTTTATAAAATAATTAATGTACTAATTAAATCCGAAGATGCACAATTAAATCCTACATGCAAATGCAATGCATTTTTGTATTTTTCATGAATTAAATAAAAATTAACATGCACACAAAAATGCAAATAATCGAAAAATTTCTACAATAATTCCTAAAATAACAAATAATTAAAAGAAAAAAATCTAATTTTTGGAATTCTGTAGGAGTAATTCATGTGGGGCAAAAATCACGTGCTCACAGCTGCCCCTCTTTGCTCGGAGACACGAAGGGTTTTCGGACAAAGATAAAATGAGAAATTATGAGGGATTTTTGCCTATTTGAAACCCATGAGAAGCATTTTTTGAAAAAGCGTGACCGAACCTTGCTTCAGAGGTTGCCTACATATCCTTGGCTATAAAGGAATCAGGTCAGTGTAGTTCTGGAAGTTTTGGTAGCTGGGACTACCGGGAAGCTGTGATTTCACTGTTGCTGCTACTGCTTGCTGAACTCCTTATTACAACAGAATGGAAAAGAAAAATAAAAAGCTAAGCTAGCTAATCCTGTCAGCTACGAGTTACAAGATTCCTATCTATAAATCTCTTGAAGCTTGATCTTGAGTCTTGGCTAGTTCTTGCTGCAGACTCCGATCTGAATCTTGATGCTCGTCAGCTGTGACCACTGGTCACTCTTCAGCTTTGGATCAAGGCGGGACATGCGAGGCATGTGATTTCAATCATATCTTGGGCAATCCGCGTCTTTCTCCGCTTTAGCACTCTGAGTTCAGTTCTTTTTTGTTTTTTTCTCTTCTTTTCTTTATTTTGGATTGAGACTCATTTTTTTGGTCATCTCGAACCCTGTGCCTCGAGGTTAAACCTGCTCAGACACCAAAACAAACAAACAAACGAAATTTTTCTGCCCCAGTTTTCACTAGGAAAATTTCGTGAGTTATTTGTAACTAAGATCTAAACTATTTCTTTTTTGAAAGCGATAAAATAAGATTGTGTGTCTTTAAGAGGAAAAGGAGACTAGGGAATGGAGGCCCTATGTCTAACATCTCAACTAGGGAATGGAGGCCCTATGTCTAAAAATCTCAACTAGGGATTGGAGCCCTATGTTGGCAAAAGGCGACTAGGGAATGGAGGCCCTATGTCTAAAATCTCTACTAGGGATTGGATCCCTATGTTGGCAAAAGGCGACTAGGGAATGGAGGCCCTATGTCTAAAA